ATAAGAGCATACATATATATAGCTAAAAGTTACTTGACAAACAGCAAAGCCAGACAGGCGACACCTTCAGTCGAGTTGTTGGCCAGGATCGATAAAGGCTTTTCCAGATAGTAACCCAACACACTACTGGAAAAATGAACAGCAGACCTCAAAATAATTTTTTATTGAAGTATATAAAGTAAACTAATGGGCTAGTTGACAGTAAATTCAACTTTCAGTTTGTTCCATAAAAATAAGAACTAGTGTCAATGAGAAGTCCAAAAAAAGCTATTTGCTTTAGCGGAAAAGTGAGAGTCCCAAATCATAATTATTCCTAAGAGCAGAAAGTATCCAGTGGTTGTGGCAGCAGGAGACTTTCTTCAGCTTTCTGCCACTCATAAGAGACTGCAGCCTCATACATTTGGGATCTCCCAGAATGGTCAGATCTCTCTCTCTCGATCTCTCTCTCTCTCTCTCTCTCTCTCTCTCTCTCTCTCTCTCTCTCCTACTGCTATTCATGAGGGCAGTTCAAGTAGGAAAGAAGCAACAAAAAATGAAAAAGTGGCACATCATCCCTCTCCCTCCCATTAGCCGCCACACACACTGATTCAGCATGGCTTAGTGGGTAGCTAGAGTCCTCAGAAACAAGAAACTAGGCTATTATATGGATGATGTTCATATTTAGAATATATGTTAGAATCAGAATAAGGGTGTAATATAGAAATTTATATCTTTTGTAAGTAGATATAAGAAAACATCCAAAATAAAGCTGAATTCAGTGGCACACACATGTAATTCCAGTTCTTTGGAGGCAGAGACAGGTGAATCTCTGTAAGTTGAAGTCCAGCCTGGTCTACATAACAAGTTCCAATCCAGCCAGGCCTATTTAGTGAGACACTGTCTCAAAAAAAAATTTTTAAAAAGAAAATATTGAAGATAATGAACCCTCACCTCATAAACTCTGACTATACTCCACATTAAGAATAGGCAACAATTTTGTTTATGGAATGTTTTGTTAGTCTGAAGGTCCACCATTTAATTCACATGTAGAAAAATCTATAATGTATTCAAATTCTTTATTGAGTTAATAAGCAACTAAATAACAATAATTTGAATTTACTCACTTAGCATATTTCTTCATTAGATTCCATTCCCAGCTGAGACACCTACTAATTATGCTCAATCCAGTAAGTCACTTACAGCCTCTCTGGGTTTCAATTTTTTTGTTTTCTTCTGTCTGCAAAGTAGGAATGAGAACACTTAGCCTTAGGATTGCTACAAGGGTCAAATATGATAATGGGCATGACAGAGCAGGGATCCTTCAAGCACCACCTGCTGCTCATTATTGTTCGCCTTCCTTGGAGGTTGGGGCTGGCAGAAAACAAAAACTAGATCTTTTTCTATCTCAGTGTGTCCATTAACCTTGGTCCCACAATCATTAAATTTTATATCCAAAGTTGCAGGAAACAATGCTCTGGATTATTCAATGTGTCACTTATAGTCAAAACACTTCCTTGCCCTCATTATACACCTGTTATGGTAGATATGTAGGGCTAGGTAAGGTAGCACATGCTTGTAATTCCAGCACTCAGGAGACTGCCACAGAAGAATTGTCATGAGTTCAAGTCCAATCTGGTCTCTAAAACAAGATTTTTGTCTCCCTAAACAAGACAGGGCACATCTGTAAGCTCAGTGGTATGCTACTAGGGGAAGAGGCTCCCTGGAGTCCACTGACCAGCCAGTCTAGAAAATCAGTGAGCTCCAAGCGTAGTAAGAACCCCTATTTCAAAAAACTGAGTAAAAGATGATAAAGAAAGGTACCCAATGTCAACCCGTGGCCTCCACACAGGTACACACACACATACACATGAACACACACACACACACACACACACACACACACAGAGGCCTTGATGAGAAGTATATAGCTTCAATAGATATAATGAAAATACTGAATTTAAGATATATTTATTTATGAAACATTTTGTCACCTTAATTTTCAATTTTTTTCTAATTATACTTTGGTGAATTGTTTCAGCAATTATTCTGCTTTGAGGGTTAATGTGTTTGTTTTTACAAAGATGAATCCAGCTTGCTTGAGAACCTGCCAACAGCAATGCAGTTATCTCTTGCCATTGACATAAACTTCAGCATCATCAACAAAGTGGAATTGTTTAAGGCAAGTTTTTTTTTATAATTCATAGAAAGACACAATATCAATTTCTCCAAGTCTAAGTAATTGCTTTATTTGGCATTTATTTGTCTTTTTGCCTTCTTAATTTTTTATTACATTTTTATTCATTTATTTTGGGTGTACATGAGGGGGAGGAGAGGCTGGGGAAACACATGTGCCAAGATGTGCATGTGGAGACAGAGGATGTGGAGTCAGTGGGTCTTAAAGACCAAACGCAGGTCTCAGGCTTCGTAACAGGTGCCTTTACATTCTGAACCATCTCACTGGCTCTGCCTTATGTTTTAACAAAGTCAAAATAACCTAGAGAATTTATAAGAGTCAAAAAGCTTATGGGTCCCTGCCCAACAGACAACTTGCTCTTTAGAAGCCTCTCTCTTCTAATTAGTGTAAGGAAAGAAGAGTCCTTAAGACAAGTTCTTCAGACTCTACTTGCATAAATTTAAATGTAATTATACTCTACTGCTCTGTCTTTGCTAACTTGTGTATCACTTTCCACTTAAGAGTGTGCCTTGGCCATATATGATGAATCAGGCCCTAGGTTAGCTCTGGATTGGCCTAATCATGTATCTATTACTAATGCCTTATACCTGGTTTTATTTTTGTACAGAAGTTTTAAAGATTTATTTATTTATGTATGAGCATTGCCTGTATGTATGTAAATGCACCATATACTTGCCTGTTGCATACAGTGGCCAGAAGATAGCGTCAGATCCCCTGGAACTGGAGTTAAGAACAAGTGTTAGCTGCCATATGGGTGCCAGGCACCGAACCTGGTTCCTCTGGAATAGCAGATAGTTCTCTTAAATGCTGAGCTATCTCTTCAGACCCAGCTTTTTTTTTAATACAAGGTCTCACAGTATACCTAGACATTCCTCCTGCCTCAACCTTCAGAATTCTGAGATGACAGGTGTGATCCACAACACCTAGATGGGCTTAGACTTTTAGAGTGACCAAATTTGAACCTAGAGACATTTTTCAGAAAAAATGATTGTGTTGTTTAGTTTTTGATTACTTGACACATACTAGAGACACCTGATAAAAGGGACCATCAGTTGAGCGTTGGCCTGTGGGCATGTCTGTAGGGCATTTTCTTGATTGCTGGTTGATATAGAAGAGCCCAGTCCACTGGTAATGCCATGCATGGGCAGTTGGGCTTGGGCTGTATAGAAGAAGTAGCTGAGCAAACAAGGGAAAGCAATTCAGTAAGCAGCATTCCTTTCCTCCATGGTCTCTGCTTCAATTCCTGCCTTCAAGTTCCTGTCTTGAGTTCCTGTCCTGATTTCCCTCAGTGATAGACCATGACTTGGAAGTGTAAGATGTAATAAACCCTTTCCTCCCCAAGTTGAATTTGGTCAGAGTGTTTATCACAGCAAAAGGCAAATTAGGATAATGATGATCCATAGCTGAAATCCAAGCTCTCAGAAGGCTGAAGGGGTAGAATTTAGAGTTCAAGGCCAGCATAGTGACCTACATAGTGAAACTCTGTCTCAAAAAAAAAAAAAAAAAAAAAAAAAAGGGGGCCAAAAAAA